TAAATATTTTAAAATACTTTGAATATTAAGTAAGTGCTACATTGAAAAATCAGGAACACTTTAGGTATATTAGAACATCCATCAACTACATTATCACTCTGATAAGGTTTACAACTGTGTTTTATTGAAAAAACTGCTTAGAGTATGTTACTTTATATTACAAAAGATTTTCCCACTGTTCACTGTTCCCACTGTTTAGTTCACATGTTTGTTCCATAGTGACATCTTCTGGCAGGTCACAACGTGTGCTCTTTCAAAATTATTTCCTTCAGTTTGATTAGTCCTGAAACAATGAAAACTGAGAATTAAGATCTCAGACTGCTGCTCATAAATGTGCAGGGACTCAATATATATTCCTCAGCAGTTTTTCTCTCTGATTTTTCCTCCTCTTCTGTTTACATTACCATAAACCCCCATAATTTTGGGAAGTCTGTAGGGACTAGGAGTAGCAGATACAATTTCCTCCTGCAAAGTCATTGTGGAGTCGACCCGAGTGCATAGCGCCTGAGTCACCAGCACCAGCTGGTAGTTGTTCTGGTTCTGCAGAGCCTGTTTGACAGCATCCTAGCAAATGCCTTGGTCCTTCCATAAGTTAAGCAGTGATTAAACATAAGAAACTACTGTTGGTTTGTTTTTTTTCTCTCCTTAACGTTGATTTGTGTGGGCTTTTTGGAGCTTGCTTTCAACTAGTTTTATACTGTTGCTATTCTGCTAAGAGCTGTCTGGAGCTGGTAATCAGATTTGCTTCAAAAGTACTGGAATTACTTAAACAATTATGAATGGGATTTATTGCAAACAAAAGCAAGCCTTCTTTTTCTTCTGTTTGAGAGTGTGGCAGAATTCTAAAGATCTGGTCTCCATATAACTCCAGTTACTTTATGGGGTAAAGTAATTGCTTGCATCTAAAGTCAAAACCACCTTGCTTGCCTGCTGGGAAACAGCTTTATGCTTTTTTCTTGAGTTGAACCACAGACAATCTACTAACTGGGCAATATTCCGGTTACTGTTTTATTTCCTGTTACCTGATTGATTAGGATCTTTAATTCATTTTTAAATTGCTTAGTTTTGAACAATAACCAGTCCATTCTTCATGACCAGTTGTTCTAAAATCTAGTTTTCAACCTGTGAAATTGTTGTCTCTAAGTGTATTGTGTAACAGTCTTCCTTTTTAGGGGAAAGGTTGGGGATTAGGTCTGACAAAATTATATATTTGCAAGGTAGATGTCTGTTTAGGAAAGCCAGCTGGGAAAACACAGAGGAGTACTTAGGAACACTGATTCTAATCCTACACTTGCATGCGTAAACTAACAGAATTTCTGAAGGAAAGCAGATACATCTTTCGTGTGGGTGTCTGGTCGCTGTTGAGAGTGGAAGTTACATTTACAAGAAAGTATCGAGTTTAGTGTTTTCTTTCTACTTCAAAACATTTTCCATGACTATTAACAGCTGATGTTATCACTGAGATTAATTTCCTTCAGCTTCTAGTGCAGGTTAGAGATTGGGGGTTTAATGTTTGTGGTTTGTGGATGGTTTCTTTTCTTAAGCACCTTGGAGCAATTTTTTTTTCCAGTTTTTCTTTTAATAAAAGAAAAAAAGAAGAAAAAGTAGAAGCTACAGAACATAAAACTTCATCCAAATGGTATTCTCTGAAAGTACTGGGCAGTGTATCAGAAAAGAAAACTAACTCCCCTGCAAGTGCTTGTCTCCAAATAGAAGTTAATGTGGTCCTTAAAGTCTGATGTTTGGCAGTTAATGCACGGGATTTTCCTAGTATCTTGTCTGTGCTCGGGATGGACACAGATGCTGGCTGCAGCTCTGAGTGAAGTGAGAGAGCTGGGGGAACTGAACTAGGTCTGATGCTCCACCAGAGACAATGCAAACTCTCACGGTCTGTTTAGGAAATTTGATACCTTAAGAGGAAGATCCAGAGTATATTGAGAAAATAAAGCAGTAGGGGGCCCAGAAGTGCTTGGTAAATAAATGATGGATTAAGTAGACTAGATACATATGTGGTTCTCTAAGTGCAATAGAAATTTTGTTTTAATTGATATAAACAAATTGTCGTTTATGCCCAAGTTAATGCACAAGCAGTTGGCAACAAGCAGTTGGCAACAGCAGATTCTCTTTTTTGTATGTTTTGTTACAAAAACAAGATAGTGTCATACTGCATTGAATTGCTTTTTTTTTTGTCGCAGGTAGTTGGGCCGTTGCAAAAATAAAAGTTCTAACAATGCATATAGATTGAATTAATATTTTTATATAGTATTAGAAATGTGAGAAATCTCATCTTGTAAAACCTTAACTTTGGGGTTTCTAAATACTGCATTTTTTGACACATTGATTATGTTTTTATTTGTAGTAAATTGCTGTATAATTCAGACTCTATTTCCACACTATGTATTTGATGATAAAACATATGCTCCCCTATGTTATCAAATACCATTTTAGTATTGTATGGCTTATTGACTTCAGGCATACAATCAAGTCCTGAATACAGTGCCTGTAATTAGCATATATTTTGGTATTGTCTTTGTCATTTACAACCAAAATCTTTACAAACAAAAGATTTTTTTTGCATAATAGTTTACTGTGGGCTAGAGAGTATTCATGGAAAGTTTGAAATACATACTTCTCTGTATTTTGAGACTGCAGAATATCTATTGGGTTTCTACTTCTGAAGGTAATCCTCAAGCACATTTAGAAGTGTCCATCAAACAGTCATTTCCTTTCTTCTCACTGAAATGTCTTTTTAATATATTTGTGTGTTACTGTTCCAGGTGAGCCTGATTTGGATGATCAATTTCTGGGCAATCAAGTTTCAGCAGGCAGTTGAATCTAATTCCCCTCAGTCATCCAGTGCACAAATTAAAATTCTCATTTCAGTCACTAGTCTTGTCTATGGTATCCTCTTCCCCCCAACTCAGACTTTTAAAAAGTAACTGTCTATGTAATACATACAAGATAATAACATTGTTGTATAGGAACGCTGGTGGTTTTTCAAAAATTGTATGTAGTATAAAATAAGCTCTAACTTTATTTGGATCTTGCAGGTGCGCAGATTTGCAGAAGCATTCTTTTGTCTTGAGCATCCTAGGCAAGCTGCCCTTGCCTATCAAGAACTACAGTGAGTAATTGCCTTTTGAAGTGCACAGTATGCAACATGTAGTACTATCATTCTGTAGTGTATGTTGTGTAGCAGTACTGTCTTGCAAAAACACATAACAAGTTCAAGAGAAACGTAGGTTCTAAATACAGATTTGAAGTTTTTAAATGAAAATTATATAAGAAGTTATTAAATAACTATTAAAGCTATTAAATAACCAATTAGTAGAAAAGCTTCTACTAAAGTGAATTAAACTACTGCTAATTTCTGTTAATGTAAAAATCAATAGTTCCATTTTTTTCATGTAGGACTACCTCCTTTTTTTCAGTGCTCAAAGTCATCTACAGATGTGTGCAGCTATCAAAAACACTTCCTTCTGCAGTTCTTTTCCACCCCTCCCTATTGAATGCAGTGAGCTAGATGGAGATATGAACTCCTTGCCTATAATCTTTGAAGATCGATACTTAGATTCAATTACTGAAGGTAAACACACCTCACAGTGCAGTTTTCTTTTCTTTTTGAAGAAATGAGCAAAAATTATGCCTGAGTATATTTCTTTACATATCTTGCTGGTTTTAAAGGAGTACATTTATTAGTTAGGAAATATTTCTTTAGTTTGAATTTTGAGGATGTGTAAAGTTCTATAATTACTAGTATTTATATTTTAGCTTCAGTTACCTGCATAATCTTGTTGTAAACAATCCTTTTCTTGTTTTTTTCCCCTTGCTTTATTTGGTGAAAGATCTGGATGTACCCTGGTTGGTAGTTCAGAGTCTTCCAAGGTCAGAGTCCAATAAACTGGATAAATTTGAAGCTGAAGAAGGTTTTGTAGCTGGTTTTACTAGCCCGGAACTGAAAATAAGACCTGCAGGTGCCTCCAACCTTTGGCATTCAGAAAGTGAAAAGACGCTAACAAAAACTTTGAAAGGGAAGAATGAAGATGCAAATAAATCCAAAGTTAAGGTTACTAAGCTCATGAAAACAATGAAACCTGAAAACACAAAGAAAGTTGTGAAACAGAACTCTAAGGACTCTGTGGTCTTAGTAGGCTACAAATGTTTGAAAAGTGCAGCACTGGAAGATGCCTCTAGAAGCTCAGAAGGCAGGCCTTCATACAATGCTAACGAAGGGCTGGACCCTGCATTAGGTGGATTGCCTTGTGATACAAAGACCTGCACCAGGCAAGTAAGTCAAAGAGAACTTCTTTTTTTGCCGTCTGGAACTGAGGAAAAGACTGCCAGGATTGAAGGTATCCAACCAGGTCCAGGTAGCCCTGTGCACTGTGAAAATGTGGCTATTTTTGGTAGACTTACTATCTCACAGGCAGATTCTGGAACTATACGAACAGATAGTGGTCTACAACCCAGAGGTACACTTGAAGGTTGTCATGGAGGTCAACCAGCTTCCTCAGGAGTCAGGACAATTGAGGTCAAACCAAGTAATAAGAATCCCTATGAAGGGGAGAAGGTAACTGTTCACATTGGATCATGGGCTGAGTTTCCACAAGATGGCATGCAAGGAGAGAATTTGCAGACACCCAACATTCAGTCTTCGGAATCTGGAAATAAATTGAATTCAGGAGAACAGGAACCAGCGCTTGAAAAGGAAGATGTCCACGAAAGAAACTTCCAACATACCAGTGACGTCTTGACAAAAATTAAAAGTAACCAGCCTACTCTTTCTACAAAAGAAAGTCAACTTTCTGCAAGTGGAGACATGACTAAATTACCAGATGTTAGTGTGACGTATGCCTCTTCTAGGTTTTCAGATTCAGGTGTAGAAAGTGAACCAAGTTCTTTTGCAACTCACCCCAACCCTGATCAGGTTTTTGAAAATGTTCAAGGGCAAGGTGCATACAATGGTGAGAGAGTATTTCCTCAGCTGTTACTAAAACCAGACTCTGCTTTAAAAAACGCAATAGAAAGCCATTGCACTGAGAGTACCAGTGCTGTAAGTGAAATACAGTCATCCCTGACATCCATAAATTCTCTGCCTTCAGATGATGATGAGCTGTCACCTGATGAGAATTCAAAGATATCGATTGTACCTGAATTTAAGCTAAGTGACAGTAAAACAGTATTGGATCTTGGAGCAATTGACTTGCCAAAATGCGATGACGGCAAAAAAGCAAACACCAATTTGCAGCAACAGTGTGTTGTATTTTCAGGGCACTTGGATAACAAACCCCTGTCTATACATTCCTTGCTCTCAGGAACAAAAGATCTTTTACACTTAGTTGTTTCAGATGAGGATACGTCTACTGATGTGAAAAGTTACAGCCCACAGGCAGATCTTGGCACAACCTGCAAGGACTCTCAGGACATTGAAAAGCATCTTAACACTACAGAAGAAACGGTTAAATTGCATTTGGCAATTACTTGCATGGGTGAGCCATCTGTTGTTTCAGGTCCTTCATCTGTAAATGCAGTGTATGAGGTTGAAAAAAAAAACGAAGGAAAACATAACGAGCCTTTAGAACTAAAGGAGACAACTGACGAACTGTCAGTAGCTAAAAGTGAAACTGGTACAGATAATCCTTCTCCAACTAGTAGTACTGACATGGTAAAGCAAGGGCTTGTTGAAAACTATTTTGGCTCTCGAAGCAGTACAGATATTTCAGATATTTGGCCTATGGACAACAGCAATCCTGTTAGCCCTCAAAAGGAAACATATGAAAAACAAGTAATTTGCTCTTCCCAGCAAGATGAGGAAGAAGAGGAGGATCAAGAAATGATTGAAAATGGGTATTACGAAGAAGCAGACTATAGTATATTAGATGGAGCTTCCAGTGCATACCAGGATCATGGCTCAGCAGAAGAGAGAGCCCTGAGATCTGAAAGGATTGATAGTGGGCATCTGCGAGATGGAATGACTGTGCCTCCTGTCTGCACTCCTGGTTGTCTGGCTTTTCCTTCTTCTCTGAGAGACTCTCCTTGCAATGTTATCTGTTCTTCAAGGAATAAATCTGATGCAATTACACAACAGCCAGGCGGTACATCCTACAGCTCAGCTGCATCTGTTTCCTGGTGTGAAAGCTCCCCAAAACCTCAAATGTTAGCGTAAGTGATTGTTTTAAAACAAAGTTTCTACTTTTAGAAATTATGTTAATATAGTATAGAAGGGGAAGAGAAGCATGGTTAGGCTCCAGAGTGCCCTCAGGACTGTGGCTTGTGGATTAAGCACACTCAAGGAACATCACGTTTTAGATGTTCAGATAGAAGGGCAGTTAGCACCGAATTCCTTCTCTCAGTTATGTTGTAATTTCATGTGGTTTGACAAACTTCAAGCAAAACACGATTTTATTTTTTTTTGTTTCTCTGATATGTTCCTTTTTAAAAAAAAAATCGTTCGACTGAAAAGTGATGCTCTAATGGCTACTGAGCATAAAAATGGTGGTTTATGAAATGGAAGCTGTTAAAATAGTAAGCATAGGAAAACATGCTTGGAGTTTAAAAACATGAAAACAAAACCATTCTGTAAGTGGTTGTCCATTTAATTAGTTAAGTGAAGCAAATCTGCAATGCTAGCCAAGGTGATGGCCTTACTGTCGTAACTCAAAATATCCAAAATGCAACACCTGAAAGACATTAATGCTCTAAATTACACTGCAATTTGGATACCAGGAGAGCCAAATTCAAAGGAACATCAGGGATCCCAGATTGCACTCCTGTAACATAGGAGTTTCCCTGATAACCCCCTGCGGCGAACTGAACGTGGGAAGCAGCAGCTTAATGTGTTGTATTGGAGTAGGAGTTTCCCTGATAACCCCCTGTGGCGAACTGAACATGGGAAGCAGCAGCTTAATGTGTTGTATTGGAAGTAAAACATTGCTATCGGAAAGAAGGCGGCTGAGAAGCGAGGTAGTAACAAGGAGAATGCTAAGCAGGCAGAAGAGATAAAAGACCAGATAGTCTGTGGTAAGGAGCTTTGAACAGGAGGAAGGATTGAACAGTGGTGGAAGACAGGTTGGAAGTGGACAGAAAAGTAACTTCTGAAATACTGGAGAATGAGTACTGGAATGGAATGAGAGGGATGAAAAGCAGAGACTATTTAGGGTGTTCTGTAACAATAGAAAGCAGAGTTTCCCAAAGTGTGGGATAACTGCAGTTCCAGAGGGCATGGTCTGCTCTGTAGAGAACCAACCTCAGTACATTCAGTGCAGAAAACATGCCTTGAGTACAAACTAAGTAACTTCTGCTGTGGAGTGATAAGACCACCTGCCTGCAGTGGTTTCTGTTTAGGCTGACTTCATTGAGGCTTGCTCTTGCCAGTTAGTGAAGAATGACCTAAAGATAAAGCTGGGAAAACAGAGACCAAAAAGTAGAATGGGAGGAAAACAGTGAGCAGGCAGAAGAGAATGGAATACAGCATGACACTGTGAGGGATCATGCAGAGGAAAAGAAGCGTAAGGAAGCGTAACGCTTGAAGTGCTGCAGGGAAACTGATATGCAATTAATTAGGTAGGAAGGTCATACACAAAAAACTAAAGGAAGGGGAAGAAAGGGAGGAACACAAGGAACCCCTAGCATGTGGGGAGCTCAGCTATTGGAAACCATACAGTGTATGCCTTCATATAACATGTAAAAGATCAGAAGTCTGGATCTGGCTGCTTCTGAAGCACGTATCAGTTATTCAGCTTACTAGGGAGACTTTCTGTTGAGCAGTTGCAGCACTGGCCCCAGCTCTCTGCTGACCTTGGAAATAGGTTTTTAAGTTTGGCAAGAATTATCACAAGTCAGTGGAAATCTTTACCTTGACTTCTGATTAATTATAATTCCTGTAATTTTGTTATTGCATTTGAACAAAGCTGTTGCTTGCTCAAGACCAGAACTAACTCAGAATCTTCAGTGGTTTCAGAAGTACTGCAGAGTTTGCAGAAATGTTCAAAGAACAGAAAAGAGTAGAGCTTGGGGTATGGATTTTGTTACAGAGGAAAAGAGGCTGTAAGAAGCCGCAGTAAAAAATATTTTGAAGAACTGTCTTTTTTTGTGAAGACAGTAATTTGATAAATATGTTATCCTTTATATTAATTACATAGAAGACTAAGTAAAAAGACAGTAGAAAACTGTATCCTAGGAGACATTACGTTTGTCTGGCAATAGTAAATGTTGTTTTATCATAAATACAATTTTGTTCCAGTTTTCTGCAGGCTAAAGAAGAATTGAAGCAACTCAAACTTCCTGGATTTATGTATAGTGACGTTTTCAAACTGGCTTCTTCAGTACCTTATTTCAGTATGGAAGAGGATGACTGTTCAGAAGAAGGAATACATCTCATAGTCTGCGTCCATGGCCTAGATGGTAGGCTGGGAAATGTGATACTGAATGAGATAGCAGTTCAGGTTACCGGTCAAGTTTAGCTTTTGTCATTTGAACTCTGAACTGAACACTTCTGAAATAGATTCACTGCAGGGAAATAGGGATCTGATATTGTACTGCTACATTTGACAATATGTTCCATAGAATCATTTAAATTAAGAATTTTATGTAACATTTGTCTTTAGTAAAACTTTCATGCATATAAACCCATTTTATTCCATACTTCACGTTAGATACATCTTCAGGTTTTTTATGTTCTACAGGTATACGTCTGTATCGTGGTAATAGAATGGAGTTACTAACAAAACAGTTTTGTTTAGAATTTGTAATGTTACATTGTCAAGGAAAATAAAGTATGTGTATCTTGTTAGAAAAAAAAAGTATATGTAAAATGCAGTCAAGTCTTTATAAGGTTTTAAAACATTAGATTACTGAGTCACAGAGTGGTTGAGGTTGGAAGGGATCTCGGGAGATTGTCTAGTGTAACTGCCTGCTCAAAGCAGGGTCACCCACAGCAGGTTGCCCAGGACCCAACCCAGTTGGGTTTTGAGTATTTCCAAGGACTACTGTAGTAGGAATGAGAAAATCTCTTGCTAGTTGAAAGGAGGATTGGAAAGTTTAAATAGCTTGAATATATTCACCTGCTTTTAGTTCAAAGCATATGTGCATGTTAAGAAATAATATCCCCTCTAGTTAAGATAGTCACAGCTTTCTGCCGTCAACATTTTTGTCTTTTTTTTGAGAAGCTTCTGAAAGTAACAATGTAAGGAAACACAAGAGGGCAATAGATAGAATATTGGACTGCACTGACGCTGCACAGCCTTCTTGTTCATTTTTCAGATTCCTAAGTTTAAAAAAAAAAAAAGAATAGCTTTTCTTTCTTCCTCTGGGCAGAAAGCATCCTTTGGTAAGTGCTTTTAAAATGGAACTCAGAAGTATTCATTCTTACTAGCGCAGATGTTCAAGTGCTATTGCGTGCCTAGAATTGACACAAAAGTTAACTTGGCCAAAAAACTGTTGTTAAAAAAACATGTGTTTGAAGCCTTAGAAAAATCCATATAGTTAGAATTTTCCTATAAAATGGTGAGTTCATACAAGTTCTTTCCTATTAATAACAGATTTAAATAAAAATCTTGTTGTCTAATTAAGGCAGAAAGGGTACTCTTTCTTCAAAAGCATACATAGTCATTGATGTAGAGAAATCTTCAGGATGCTAGTTAAACTTCAGCATTTGTTGTCTTGGGTACCAGTCTAAATGTAGCTTTATCTGCTGACAGTCCACTCTGCCTTTTTATTCTGTGAAAATGTTTACGACTTGCCCTTATTCCTTGCTCCTTCACTGAATTCTTTAAGCTAGCTCTGAATTCTTTAACTGATTTTCATCAAAGTTAATTAGGTTTTCAAGAATGTAATGTTCACAGTGCTGTGTATCTGTTGGATGCTAAGACAAAATCAAACATGACTTCTTAAATCCTTGCTTTTTTAAAACTGGTGTCTGCATTGAATGTCATTTTTATAGACGGTTTTGTGACTAAATTTGGCATTGCAGTTTATCTTCCTGAGTCTTCCTGAATTTTAATTAGGGCTGAGAATATACTGAACAGCGTTTAAATATAAAGTTGTACGGTAGGTTCGTTTCAGTATTCTAAGTGCTTTTATTGCAAGTTAACTTTGCAGTATCTAACTCTTGATTGTTTTTCCTTTTAAGGTAACAGCGCAGATCTAAGATTAGTGAAGACTTACATTGAGCTAGGGCTGCCTGGAGGGAGAATAGACTTTCTTATGTCTGAAAGGAATCAGGTATTTGCCAACAAAAAAAGAATTTTTGTAAAGCAATAAACAGTGTACGTCTTCAGACATGTTTATTTAATGGCGCTATCATGTTGCAGTTTACCACATTCTGTATATTTTTATTATATTCTCACGGAATCCATGATTTGATCTATGGCTTTCGTTAAACTAACTACAAAACCTAGTATGATATTGAAAGTAAATGTTTAAGGAGTAACATCTGTTGCTGCCATTTTGTTGTGTGTACTGATATCTCCTAAGTTCTCACCATAATCAGTTAGGATTGTAAATTAAATACCCTCGATATTAATGGTAAAAATCATGATTGTGAAAACTGGTGTGGCAAGAAGGGAGATGTGTTCTTTCACAGGATCTGAGACATACAAAATACCTGTCTCTTGTTCTTTTGTCAGTGTACTGTAAGATCCACATCATGGCACTGAACCAGTATCAAATTACCTCTTGTGTTAAACTTCTGTGAATTTTATTATTTTCAGATGAAGTAAACTTGACAAAGCACAGGAGACCAATTTTTAATTTTTTTTTGTGTTACATATTGTATTAGATATACTTCAGAACAAAAAGTCTCTTCAATGGCTCAAACAAAAAGTTCATTTAGTGCAGTGGTGTTTTTCTGACAATAGCTGCTGGGATGCTTTGCGAAACAGGCTGGACAGGCACCAATCCATGCTTTCTGTTCTCTAGCCCTATAGGTTTTGGCAGTCAGCAATTCTAAAACTTTCTGATTTGGGAATTCCATTGAGACCAGTGAGCCTAATAGCTACTGATGGACTTTTCTCCTTAATGTTGGCCGATTCTTTTTGAACATTTTTAATTCCAGTTCCCACAGCATACAGTTGAGATTAATTCTGTGGTTCACATACATTACTAATTCAGTTGCAAACAAGGAAATTGAAACAAATCGCCCCACAGCTTGTTTTGGGAAAAAAAAAAAAACATAGTCAATAATCATTCCCCATTTTCTGCTTTAGTAATTAAGTATTTTATAAACAAGCGTAATTTTTCCCTCAGGAAGCAACTGAAGAGACTTAGTTCATTCAGTATTTCTCAGGATCACATGTGAAACAGTTTCTGGTAATCCATGGTAATCCTTCCCTGACAATTTTCAAACTTCTTATCGTTTAACATAGGATGATCAGAACAAGACAGGGCATTTAAGATGCTTGCACACTACAGACTTACAAAATGCTGTATTGATATTTTGTATTCTTTCCTTGTTTTCCTAACATAGCTGATTATATAGAATGCAGATGTATAGATTATTGCTTGCATATATGTTTAGGGCTGTTTTTCCCTGTGTAACATTGTTTTGCAATTCTTGCCATTTTATCACCCAGGCATGCAGTACTGTAAGATTCTTCTGAAGTTCTGGTTGGTTCTAGATTTGACTATCCTGGATATTTGATTTAGTCTCCAAACTCTGACCTCTCATTATTCTCCCTCTTCCCTTTCCCAGATCATTTATCAATATGTTGAACACGGCAGATTTTTGCACAGATCCTTTGCAACTTGTGTTGAAAAGTTTTAGGCAGCTTTTGCCTACGTCTTTTTTAATTTCTTACTGCTAATTGTTGTAGAGAATCAGCTGTGAACTGGGATAAGGCTTTCAGGGAGCTTTTTTTGTTTTGTTTTGAATAAACAGTTCTAATATAGACTCTTTTTGCTGTTGCAGTAATTGTTTCATTTCTGTTTCCTGGGCAGTGTGATTTAGTTTTGAATATGCAGTTTGGTTCTCTGT